CGAGAAACCCCATCACCCCCAGATTACCCCAGAACTTTTCTACTGAACGTGAAACCCCATCACCCCCATGTTACTTCAGAATGTTTCTACCGAATGAAAATCCCCATCACCTCCATGTTACCTCAGAACTGTGTGCCCTTTAAGCTCACCTGCCTGCTGTCGTTCTCTCGGCACCCCTGCAGCTTGATTTGCGATCCTGCAGCCCGGTCAACCACCGTCAGGCACAGATCCATGTGCTTGACAGATTTATCCTTAGTCAGGGCCCATTCCTGGAGGGAACACAGCAGAGAAAAGCATGATTCCGCTACACACTCCGCCTTGAAAGTCCCCTGGAAAATAAAGGAGGGACTCGACAGGACTGAGGTGCTGTCCCTGGCGATGGGACATGCATGACTATTGTAGTAAACTTCAAAACTGCCCTCATCAATGAACATCAGCTTATCAGATGGATCAGTGACAGCAGACATAAATGACGACAACAAGTGATCTAAAAAGAACTAACTAGTTTCACCAGTACACACAAGGAATGCTTCTAAATATAAGGTCTTAAGTTTATATATGAACTAAATATTTCATCAGTTACCTGAACTATTTGCTTAAGTAACCATTGTATACTTTCTACAATTACAAATATTAATTTATTCAGTGGATTTATTTAATATAACTTAGTTACCCCTCCAAAAATTGCTTCTTTTATTTTGCTTTTATCCAAAGCAATGTCTATTTGCACCCATTTATACAGTTGGAAATTGTACTGGAGAAATTCAGATGAAGTACCTTTCTCAAGGGTGAAACAGCAGTGTCCCACCAGACATTACAATTTAAATGATGATTTATCTTTATTGAAAAGACCACAACCTTCTGAGTCATAGTCAAGTGTTTTTATGAGAATGACACACATTAAAATGATTTACTACAGTTACTCAGCTCGCAGTGTGGCCCTTTCAAAAGCCACCCTCTTTTAGAAGACCTCATCCAAATTTCCATACATTGATTTTATTCATTTATTGGGCGAGTTTTTACTATATTTCAGTAGAAAACACATCCACTTTGCTACTGCTGCACATCTCTATGTCTGAAGGGTTGATCTGAAGGTCAAATGCAAGAAGAACGTGTGAAATAAAACTACAGAAGCTACTCCAGGTTGTAAAAACTCTGCACTGCACCTGGTTGCCTCCAGCATTGTGGCACTCGTACACTCCAACAACACCGTCTGCAAAATGCCCCAGGGTGTCCAAACAGTTGCTGCCCTGCTGTAGGGCTCCAAACGCAATGTCCTGGTGGTCTGGTACCCTGGTAAACGCATCACACAGGCAGTCAGAAAGGCTCATTTCAGTAAAACCCTCGTGAGTGCCCTGGAGCACAGTAACACATTCAAAGAGGCTGCAGTGCCCCCACAGGCACTGTGGAGACAGGCCAGGGCCAGCAGATGGCGCTAGTGTGCTGAGAAGCAGATAGAAGACGACATTCCCTTAATTCCAGGATTTACAGCGAAGGGGAGAACAGCCAAAAGACGGCACATCTTGGAGGTTTAACGCAGACAGGAGAGATGGCTAATTGATTTGTACAATGTTTCCGGCTGCAATTGCCTCTATTTTTGGCTTTGTTGAGCTTTTGCCGAGAGTGTGCTTATGCTCTCCGTTACAGCATAGTTGGGCAATACATCCCAAAGCAGTAAATACTGTATTGAGAAAATCGGCAGCACCTGAGGTCACAAGTCTGTGATTTGCCATTCTCTGTCAGAATGGACAGTGAATGGTCTCTTAGCAAGGCTGAGCCTGAGGGAGCGAGTCCATCTCATCCAGCTCTCCCTCTCTGCCATGCATGAGAAATCAATTAAAACAAACACCAGTGGCTTAAAAAACAGGGTTTCTCCTTCTGCTATCTACACACTGTCAGGCTGATGCTTATAAAATGAGATGCTGACCTGTGTGGTAGAGTGTAAAACCATGTGCAAACCGACTCTGTGACTTGGCTCACTCACCTCAGCTCAGGATACACATTCTCCAGGTACCACTTGAAAGGTTTGCAGGCGAGCCTCTTTTTCATTTCCATTCGGCTCTGAATGCTGGGGGGAAGGCAAAAGTCGCAGCGAGAGGAAAGAAAAAAAGATGGGATTTTATTTCCTTCTTTGCACAGTCCAGTTTCGACGAGTTAACAGCAACACAAATCTCCTGGCACACCACTGAAGAAAAGAAACTAAATAGGAGCTGAAACTGGGACTTAGTAAGAGCCAACATCAGAAAGCAACTCCACCATACCTCTTTCACTGCCTTTACAGTCCTGCTTCAGCAATGACCAGGAAGATATTACATATAATTAATTACAATTTATAAATGAGTAATAACACATTGATTTTATCTTTCCTTTTATTTTATTAGTTGAATGAACTTAAATATAGGCAGTCTGTGTCCAAAACAAGGACTGATATTTTATGAAGCATTTTTTATGGTCTTATTTGATAGCGATGCCTCCATTAAGTTAACTGAACACTTGTTCATGTTAGCTGGTTTCGATTAATACATTCTCATGACCAAAGCAGTGGAGTTGTTGAGCTGAGCAGCTACAGTGATGGAAGAGAGTATCTGGATCTAGTTTAGATATGCAAAGGATAGTCAAAACTTCAGGCAGTACCGTTAGGACATTTCAGCACTGCAGGCAACCCACAGTAAACCACAAGAATGCTAGGGGCACGAGTGAAGTTTTGTGGGCTGGGTTATCAATGTTCACTAGCTTCACACAGAAAAGGCAGTAATATTGAGCTTTGGCACAAAAATTCCAGGCAGGCCTTTGCTCAGAGGGGAAGACATGGGAAATAACAGATACTGAGCCTACGGAAAGGAGATTTGAAACGGCTCCTTCTCAGGTGCACCAAACCAAGCAGGCATAAGCTCCCATGAAATCCCGTTTTCCATTTGGGATTCAGTTGGGAATGGGATGCACGTTTGCATTAGAAACTGACTCCCACAGAAGGCCCCACAGCCAAAACGTTGCGTTTCTTTTGTTCTCTTTTCAGCGGGGAAAACACCTTTGCTTGTTCCTTTGCAGCCTACGCATGCTGACACGGCTCCCTACTCCAGCTGTTCAATCCAGCGTCAACCAGGAAGAACAAGTCCTGCTAACTTTGGTCCACTCTGTTATCCACAGCGTTGGGGCGCGACTCCCGGAATCACTTACTTGCCATATGGGACGTTCCGAGCAGAAGGCACAGCAGCATAGTAGAAATTCTTAAATTCGTCCATCCACACCTCTGCAGCCCTTCGAGTGTTCCTTAAAAAAAAAAACGGGAATAATCTGTTTTACCAGCCTTGAAGGGATCAGTTTGTGGGAGGGTACTGTGAGATTGTTTGTGACTTGAGCGAAAGTCTGCTGCCACTTTAAAGATTTTTAGGAGTGGTCCCATCACGTCCGTTCCCCAGAAAGAGAATCCATGTTCTCCAAGAACCAGAAAGGGACTGTACCTCACTCCCTGGGGTGCACTTTGCTCTTCGACACACAAAATAAGCTCCCAATTCCAGTCTAATACTAAAAAAGGGGCATCGAGGAACACAACATGATTTAAGCCCCAAGTCCTAAATTGCAAACATGAACAGGAATAAGATAAGAAAGATAAGATAAGATCACTTAATTAGCCCTATACAATTTCTTGCATTAGGAATTCGTCTTTTTGCATACCCCAGCTTGCTCTCCATGAGACACACAGACTGGGAGAGATGCTTGGGGTCAGAACGCAGGATCAGTCATTTGCACAGCGCCCCTGGAGCAGTTGGGGTTAAGGGCCTTGCTCAGGGGCCCAACGGAGTAGGATTCCTCTGCCGGCCGTGGGATTTGAACCGGCAACCTTCCAGCCACAGGCATCTGACATTCCAGTCAGGCCATACATAATGCAAATAAGCAAGCTACTGATCTGCACGCACCTGTGTCTGTACTATCGTGTTTTGGGTGTTTTGCTGCATTTGTAAGATCTCGACATCAAGACCACTTATTTTGCCGCCTCAGGGAGGTGTAGCAATTGACTTGCAAACTGTACAGCTGGATATATTTTAATAACCATGTTTTTCAAAAAGAAGTAATTAGGTGTTCGGAATTATACAACTTCTCCAGACTGACTGGGAATTCCTGTCCCTGCAGCACATCAAAACCTGTTTATAAAGTGCACCTGGCTGTTCCAGTGGACCCTGTATATACAGTATCGCTGCAAGTTATACGCCACAGACACAATGAGCCACAGAAGCACAGGGTAAGAGGTGAATTAAAAAAAAAAAACATCCCAAATTGTAAGACCACTCCATAAAAACCTCAGCAAGTAAAGAGACTTTGGAACCAGACTCTGCCAACTCAAATTTCAGTTAGTATTGGTGTATCTGTTCAGGCTATATTTCTTTTTAACCTTTTTTGCCTTGGAAAAGAGTGATTGCAAATCAGTAGCTCATGGCCTGTTCTTTTGAGGGGAAGATCTGTTTAGTTTCATTTGATCCTCAGATAGTTGCTGGACAACGAGTTACTCAGTTATATGTTAGAGCCGTGGAAAAATATCAGCATGGGCATCCATCATTTTAACTGGTGAAATTATATTGCTTCTGTTTTGGGGGCAGCTAAAATGTAACTACTGCTTAAAATCTCATCTTGAAATCTACCACACTAGCGCACTGTATTCTGTTTGGAGAAGCTGTATTTCAGAGAAGCATCCGAGATTCACAGTCAATACTGGTTTCTTTTGCAACGCTGACTACCTTAATTGTGGTTTAAAACGACACTTCTTTGAAAACAAAATCAAGATTTACACAAGAATAAAATAAACTTTTATAATACGTCTTCTAGTACTATGAAATACTTGGAAAATGTTGCCCTATCTGATGATTTCAGACCCTTGTTGCAACAGGGGTGCGCACTGGGCTTTCAAGGGGACCAGTGGGAAATTCCGGCAGTACTATCAGGATATTTCAGGACTTCAGGGGACCCAGACTAAACCACGTGAATACTAGGGATCTGAGTGGAGTTTGTCGGCTGGTTTGGCAATGTCCACTTGCTTCACACGGCAAATATGCTTATACTGATGGATGTGGATGTTTGCCTGTCATGCCTTCCAGTAGGGGCAGTAACATCCTGTTGCTGGTTCAGTAACATTAGTTTTTTATGGGACGGGGCTGTTAGCCTTGTGCCCAACCTCCAACATGGAGGACCTGTCGCCCGACGTGGGACACAAACCCACTACCCTGAGAACAGAGTCTCATGCTCTACCGACAGAGCTAGCCCGACAGTTATACTGAGCTTCGGCTCAGAATTTCCAGGCGAGCTTTTCTCCGAGGGGGAGACCCCACTGGCAACAGATACTGTGCCTACAGAGGGCACATCTGAACCAGGGACAAGAGGTTGGTACTTATGGACTCAAAGGAAGGGGCACAGTTTCACTCCTGGGGAACCGTGGGAGGAGCAGGTGGCAAGTCTGCAGGAGACTTCTCCACAGAAACAAGGGTTTTTTTCCGCAACTCGCAGTTTCACAAACACTCCCCCGCAAAACGAGGGATGTACAGACCTTGAACCACAAGGCAGACAGGAAGCGCTATCCCAGAAACAGACCTTCAGAACTAACCAGCCTGAATAAAAGCAAGAATACTGGCACCTCTAGCATGCAGCTAACAGACTGGGAAAATCTGGCAAAATACAGTCGCATTAAAACAAACAGCCACAAAAAAACTCCAGGTAAGGGCTGGTTGTATGCCAATGTCAAAAACTGTAATCACCTTTAAACTTCTTAATCTCCGCAGTAATCTCCAAATCTAATCTCTTCTTTACATTTAATCTCTGCAGAGATACAGAAATCCTATCGCTGTGTCACCGGTAAGCGGGGAGGTATACATTACAACGCTTTGAGAAACATTCATTCACTCTACTTACGACTGGACGACCAATTCTAAGTTCATAAATGCTGACCTGGCAAACACCGTCCCACTGCCCCCAGGGAAGGTGTAAGGGTGCTGTTTGCGGAAGACATGTCCCACTCGGCTGCACGGAATGATTTCCAGACTGCCCCCACACTGCCACACTCGGAAGGAGATCTCTGTAATGACACAGGCACCAAACGGCAAGGTACCAGCAACAGGAAGACCACAGCTGTATTAGGGAATTTCACTTTAAAAAGGACATCAGTGTTTTTTATCAATCACAACTGACAACCTACTGAAGCCCAGCACGTGTGAGGCTGGTGAATACCTGGATGGGAGACTCTCGAGAAAAACTAAGGCTGCTGCTGGAAGAGGTGTTAGTGGGGCCAGTAGGGGGCGCTCACCCTGAAGTCTGTGTGGATCCTAATGCCCTAGTATAGTGACAGGGACACTATACTGTAGAAAGGCGTCGTCCTTCAGATGAGAAGTAACACTGAGGTCCTGTCTTTCTATGGTCATTAAAAATCCCAGAGCGTTTCTCGAAAAGAGTAGGGGTGTAACCCCAGCGTCCTGCCCAAATTTCCCATTAGCCTTTACCAATCATGACCTCCTAATAACCCACATCTATAAACTGGCTTCATTACTCTATTCTTCTTCCCACTGAGAGGTGGTGTGCAGGGAGTGTACTGGCGCACAGTGGCTGCCGTCGCATCATCCAGGTGGGGCTGCACACTGGTGGTGGTGAAGGGGAGTCCCCATTACCTGTAAAGCGCTTTGAGTGGAGAGTCCAGAAGGCCTCAAGTGTTTAAGTATTAATCTCAATAAGTAGAAGAACGACGCTTTTGGTTGTGAGATAAAGTATTTTTCCCCCCCACTGTGGATCTTCTAACCTAAATTTTCGCCACCCCAGACGTCCATCATCATGTCGTATTTTCCCAGCTCCTCGAAGTAGTCTTTATCCATGACGAAGAGGCCTCCGGCGATCATGGGTGTTCTTAAAAAAAAGTGGGAAAAAAACCACATCAGTTGTCTCAATGTGTCACCTAGTCTTCTGAGGAACTAAATGGGACAAGAAAAACTGGCGTGATTAAGGAGGTGGTATAAAGAACAGCAGGATAAAGAGGGTCAACAATGATTAAACAGCCACCACAGAATGCAATCTTCCTATAACAAGGCCGGCACTGTGTAAATGACATCTATATTTTCTGGAAGACAGGGCATGAGTAATGACAGGGCACCAGTCCACACAGCCTGTATGAAACACGGGGACAGCCATGCCTTGGGTAGACCACTTCCTTATAAAGCCTCTGGGACTGGCTTCAGCCACAAATCCCACATAAGATCAAGCCCTTGACTTGCACTAAGGAAAGGGCAAAATAGTCCAGATGTATCCCCGATTCATATTTTACTACCGTCACACAGAGTACTACAGCAGAAAGATTTTCTTTCTAACTTTTGCCATTTTCTTGTTTAATTAACCCCTGGCATTAAGGAGTCGTCAGTAGTGTTAGAGAGAGAGAGAAACTAATACATCCTTGCAATATTCTAGTTAGAAAATTAAGTCTAGGCTGCCATCTACAGGCAAAAAGCAATTTTCAGCTTAAGACTTGATTGTTGTTTTTAAATAATAAGAACACAGAGAGATCTGCAACAATTGCCCCTGTATTGCATTACTGGAGCTCTGTAATTTAGGTTATAGATGCAAGGTGTCAACCCAGATCATTATCTGCAGCAGGCTGTAATCAGGATTGGCTGTCCAGGTGTGCAGGAGTCACAACTCCGCCCCTGACTCAAACCCAGTCCAAAGCTGAACTCCCAAGGCCAAGTTCTGCTGTATGACTCTGTGGCACTGCCCCTCTACTTCCTCTTACATGTGGTGGAAAACAGCATCTTTGGAAATTGTATCACTGCGAGGCATGAGACTGCTTACAGGAGGGTCTCTTCCTGTTTGTGGGCTTTAAAAGGGAATGCAAAGGCAGAGGCTGAAGGAGAACGTCGGAAATACTGTCCCTTATTCCTTTGGAAACGTGTTACGTTACTAATAGACGTATGACAAGACAGAAATGATCACAACACAGATGAGCTCCGAGTCTGAAAGACCCGCAGATAAAACTGAAGACAAACACAGACGGCAAACGGAGATGTTACTTGATGGGAGCGATGGGGTTCCCCTGGCGAGCTCTCCGCTGCTCCAGCGTCATGTAATCCCACTTGAACACCAGGTTCCAGTCAAACCCTGCGGGCCGAAATAAGGCAATGCGATTGGCCAACTGTGAGGAGCACTCAACATACAAGAGTACTTTCCAGCCCCACCCTCCCAAACCTTCCGTGTGTCCGAGTGGATTCATCCAAGCTCTTTCCTCTTTTAGAAAGATCTAAAGAGGAGAAACATCAAGGTGTGGAACCAAGCTTTACATCGGAACAGACTGAAAGCTTTCTCCTGAATCTTTCAGGTGATGCCCGGGTGAATAATTTTACTGCATTTGCAAGCACCGGTATAAAGTTTCAAACCTTTTTTTTTATCTTTACTCTATCTTGTACATCTGCGTGACTTCATAATACCGGTTTGTTTTGTTAGAGTTTGTAACTGTTCCCATATATCCAGTGCATTTACTCCCAAAATAGGCTTCCTGTATAATAAAGAGTTCCAACGTTAACCCCGTCCACTGCTGTGGCCAGTGAATGTCTCACATCTCAGACCTGCAGAAAAGGGACACTGGACATCAGCACGGGCCTCGGGTACATCCTGACCGTGTGTGCATCCTGCGTGAGTCCCATTATGACCCAGACACTTTGAGAAAGGGCATGTTATTACAGATACCCGCAGAATAAAATAATTTGTATAGTGACAGCCTTAAAGCAATTCAGACTTGATTCTTGATATGGTTTCTTAGCTTTAAACTAGTTCCCGCTTCAGGCTGATTTGAGAAAATCTCTTTCAAAATGGTTTCAAAATGTCCAAGGGAGTAGGAAGGATGACTCCCACGATTTGTCCCTTTCATCCAGTGGGGTTGTTGGAAACTATCTGAAGTGGTTGAGGGTCAAGTAATGACACAGCTACCAAACCCATTTCTCTTTCAGACTGCTCATCAAGTCAAATCCCTCATTCCCCTGTGGACTCAAGCTGCTCACCTTCCTCACCCTCACTGTTGTCCTTAGCCCCTGTTTGTGCTTTTTCACAAGGGCACCACCAAAAAACAAGCAGGTCTGAAATGTTCAGAGGTGACAAAACCAGTGGAAAAACTCCCAGGTTGACGATTTTGCAAGCTCTCCTCCAGGGCCTGGGCTGCTTCTGCAGACCAGTGCCTTCCTTGCTGTCATTTTGAAGGATCCATTCTTCTTTCTAGACACGCAAAGGAGTCTGTCTCAAGAGTTTCTCTCCAGCACGATCAGTGAGCAGGCACTGGTGCAGGAACTCCAGAGGGCACCATAGACGCAACAGTGGACATGGTGTTGGCCACTCCACGGTCGTCTCTCCATCGCAACACACATGACAGCAGCTCTTGAGAGTGAGACAGTATTTCTGAACACAGCAAAGCTCTTGGCAGGAACAACTCACCACCCTTGAGGTCTGCTGAAGCCCCTACGTACTGGAAGTTATCCATATTGATGACATCGATAATGGGGGACACAACTCGAGTTCTGTCCTGTGAAAGAGACGAGAGCTGATAAATGAACCATGAATGGAAGCAGAGATATGAAAGTGGCTGACAGAATGTTTTACAGCTGTCCATTAAAAAAACAATCTCATTGCCTACTGTGCATCTCAGTTTCCTTATTTGTTTTCACATACCAAGCCTACTCACCTGATGTTCTTGAGATTGAGCTATTTTGTTTGCAAATGTGCCTCAGGTCCACAGGAACTCAAGCATTCTGTGGACTCATAAGGGCCACTTCTTATCTTTGCTTGTATTAATGGGGTTTGAAAAAAAACAACCTCCGCTCACAACTGCCTCTTAGGGCAAAATTGACCTCCAGAATGAAAACAAAGAACACAAGAAGGATCTGAACAGAAATACCCCCAAAATAAGACTCAAACGAGGCTTTTAAAAGTATTTAAATATAAAAATGACATCTTAGTGCCCTGCTGAGCTGTGCAAACAATTTCACAAGAAGAATGTTAATTTTCTTTTCAAGTTCAAAGATACTCATACACAGGTAGATGGTATAACGAAATTATTTTGTTTTGTATTAAAGTATAGGAGGAAACAGTATGTGGCTGAAGCATCCTTTATTTTAAATAACATTCTTTCAACATCATCTCCTCTTTCAGTAATTCGTTATTTATGGTACTTAAGGTTGCTTTTGATGCCTGAATTAAAAAGTGGTGGCTGTAAGCTCCTGTTTGTTCAGGTGCTCTCACCAAACAGGAGGCACATCCTGCACTCCAGAGGAGCTCGTCACGGTTTGTCTAATCCGCAGATTTACACACTGCAGACTCCCGACGCTGGCAACACACTGGAAACTGCTGCCAGCTTCCTGAGTCCAGTCCTTTAAGGGCTGTCGGCTCCGCTCGTCAGATCTCGCAGCGCGACAACTACTCAAGTGCAAAGTTTGCCAACCGTCAAAGAAAAAATAAAAGCTCGGCTACATATTATTATCCTACAATGGATTTCAAGCTTTGATTATTTTCTGTCTGGGCAGTATAGTCTTCTCTTGTAGATAAATGGATTTGTTTTTGTTTTTTACTTCGGTAAGTGTGAGTCTACAGGAATCTTAAAAGCACTCCTTTCGAGAAGCCTAAACACAAACATATTTAATGCTATTTTATTATAATCTGGACGATTGCACTTGGAAAATGCAAAAGAAAGTGAGCAGACAGGTGTTGGTGCCCATTCTGTTGGCTGATACAGCTTATTATCCCCAGTTCACGGCTGACAGCTTTGAGCAGACTTCGTACAACAAGTAACTGAGCACATTAGTTAGCTAAGCAAAAACAATACTGTAAAGTGGTACACAAGCACTTGACAACAGTGTCCTATTAACACAGTGTTACTATAACCAGTCATGTAGCACATAATTCAATCCAACGTGATTTAGAGAATCTAGGAGATCAAGAACAAATCAGTAACTCGTGCAGCAGCTGGACCTCGATTTTACATCTCAAACAGGAGGCCGGGCAGCTGTTGCTGTTGGTCCATGAAGTCACTGATGTGCAGTGATCTCCGGGCGCCCAGCCCATCTCCTGACCGTGTACCCGGGGCCGGGCGGCTGTACTGACCTCTGCCACTCTCTCCAGCAGGGGCTCCAGCCACTGTTCGTTGCACTCGCAGTGGCTGTCCAGGAAGGTGAGCACTTTGGCCACAGCGGCGTCCGCCCCCCTCACCCTGGACCTCATGAGCCCTGCAGGGGAACAGCGCCACCATCAGCTTTCAAGGCTGCTCTGCGGCCAGCAGGCCCAACTGTGCTGAACAGTGCCTGGTGCTGCTGTTCCTCTTATACTCTACAAGTCTCCTGGAAGCAGTACCTAAACTCCCATTTATTCAAGTGTCTTCAAGCACCTGCCTGGCCCAAGCCAGTCGGGTGTGATGTCTAGGAGGTGTGAGCAGAGGGCCTCTGACAGGTCGCCTTGCTCTAAGACCAGCAGCATGGAGCCTCACTGTCCTGTCACTGATGCGGACATTGTGTCTGCCGGCAGGTTCAGCAGCAGAACGGGTGGCAGATCTGAAACAATCTCTCAGATGGACCAGTCTGATGTGTCGGTCCAGCTCTGGTGTGGTCACACGAGGGCGACTGGATCTTGGACAGTCATCTGTCCTGCCAGTCTGCTGAAACCTTCTCTGTACTTGGGACATTGTGGAGCGGCTCACTCCATAGGGTCTGGCACCGCTGGCACATGACATGCTGGCCTGCAGCATGCCGATGGCCCTCTCCCTTGCTTCTGGCGACATTCGATGCATTATGGGATGCACAGAAAACTGACTGTGTGGCCTTTTTCTTGCAGTGACCTAAGCTTTGAATTAAGGCCTTTTTAAAGGTGACCTGATCAGACATTGTTCCACCTGGACCTCATTGGGTAAAAGTGCACCTAACGAGCTTTCGTGTGATTGGCAAGTTGCAATGCCTCACTGCACAAGCTGAATTGCTGGCCAGAGGGCTTAAAACAAATTGACAACGTTTTGTGAAAGTACATAAGCTATAACTACAGTATTCTCGTTCCTGAAAATGTTGCGTTTCTTTTTTCCATCAGTTTATATAAAATAAGACTCCTTTAGGCTGCACAGCACTGTTTTATCCATCCACACATCTACCATGTCTGAATGATACGGTAGCTTTGGACATTTTCACCCCTGGGATTACCTTCTCGCCGGTCATTGCGCAGAACCCGCACTTTCTCAATTTTTGCCAACAAAGCGCCGTCTTCAGCTGTAAAACACAGAAGATAAGATCAAGATCACTTTACTGGCCCTATACAATTTCTTGCATTAGGAATGTGTCTTTTTCACATACCCCAGCTTGCTCTCCATGAGACACACAGACAGGGAGAGAAGCTGGGGGTCAGAGCGCA